TAATTTTATTATGTTGTTAGTCATCATACAGTACATCATTAGTTATTGAGGTAGGGTTCCATGATTCATTGTTTGCATATAACACCCGGTGCTCCATGCAATACGTGCCCTCCTTAATACCCATCACCAAGCTAACCCATCCCTCCACCCCCTTCCCCTCTAAAACCCTGTTTCTCAGAGTCCATAGTATCTCATGGTTCATCTCTCGCTCTGATTGTCCCCCCTTCATTTTTCTCTTCCTTCTCCTAATGTCCTCCATGTTATTCCTTACGTTCCACAAATAAGTGAAACCATATGATAATTGATTTTCTCTGCTTGACTTACTTCACTTAGCATAATCTCCTCCAGTCCCATCCATGTTGATGTAAAAGTTGGGTATTCATCCTTTCTGGTGGCTGAGTAATATTCCATTGTATATACGGACCACATCTTCTTTATCCATTCATCTGTCAAAGGGCATCTCGGCTCTTTCCACAGTCCGCTCTCCCTGCGGACATTGCCTCTATGAACATTGGGGTGCATATGGCCCTTCTTTTCACTACATCTGTGTCTTTGGGGTAAATACCCAGGAGTGCAATTGCTGGGTCATAGGGTAGCTCTATTTTTTAATTTTCTGAGGCACCTCCACACTGTTTTCCAAAGTGGCTGTACCAACTTGCATTCCTACCAACAGTGTAAGAGGGTTCCCCTTTCTCCACAACCTCTCCAACATTTGTTGCTTCTTGCCTTGTCAATTTTTGCCATTCTAACTGGTGTAAGGTGGTATCTCAGTGTGGTTTTGATTTGAATTTCCCTGATGGCTAATGATGATGAACAGTTTTTCATGTGTCTATTAGCCATTTGTATGTCTTCTTTGGAGAAATGTCTGTTCATGTCTTCTGCCCATTTTTTGACTTGATTATTTGTTTTTTGGGTGTTGAGTTTGAGAAGTTCTTTATAGGTCCTGGTACCAGCCCTTTATCTGTAGCGTCATTTGCAAATATCTTCTCCCATTCTGTGGGTTGCCTCTTTTGTTGACTGTTGGAAAATAGTTTTTTTTTTTATAAAACATTATTTATGTTAACATGGAATGGGTTTATTATTTTTTGAAACAAATTAATGAATATTCTTAATTTCTCAGATATAATTTTTATTATGGTAAATACGGATAGATATAAACCACACACACAAAAACTCTTTGTGGTCCTCCCTAATTTTTAGGAGTAGACTGGTGCTCTGAGACCAAAGAGTTTGAGAACGACCACCAGATGAATGCTTGGTGCTTCTATCTTAAAGCCCATTCCTCCACCAGGTTCCATGTCCCATCTCTCACACACACTCCACAAAGCTCCCCTCTTACACATATGTCAGTTTCCCTCTCTGCACAATCATTCCCATTTATGTATAAACATGCTGTTTATTTTATCTTAAGAATAAACAAAAACTTCTCCTGTTCCTCTATCAGCTACTGCCCATGTCTCTTCCCCTTTGCACAAAACTTCCTCAAAAAAGTTGTCCGTACTTCCAGTCTCAAATTCCTCTCCTCCCATTCATTCTTTTTCTTTTTTTCTTTAATTTTATTTCCATATAGTTGACACACAGTTTCAGGTGCACAACATAGTAATTCCACAAGTTTCTACCTTATGATGTGCTCACCACAAGTAGTTGCCATCCTCCCACTCTCTCTTAAATCCCCTCCCATTGGATTTGCCTGCTCTTCCCATTCCCCTGAAGTGGGGAGATCCCACTTGGATCCCCCCACATTGTTAAGTCCCCATTTGACAAAACGAATCCTGTCTTCCTTGATATACAGGCAGCTGTCCCTTTGCAGGGCTCTGATAAGGGTGAATTTCAGTTAACACTGTTTAGTTAAATAACCCAGTCCCTCAACAACATGGTTCAAATTCCAGTTACCGCATTTATTAACTGTGAGGAATTACAGGAAGCACAAACTCACTGTCGGGCTGCTCAGTGCACCGACCACCACATAAACAACTCATGCACAGTGAGCAGTGACAATCATCTCATTTGTTTCAAAGTCTGTCAGCAACTGGCCACCAGGCATCTGTTTTTTAGCTCGCAGACAGACAGCAAAATGTATATTTGAAATGAATCACTGAAAGAGGAAATTGGCGAAGAAAAGTGAAAGTGAAGCAAAGACACAAAAGTGCTAACACTGGATGTAGAAATGGAATCTAACATAATGGAGGTACAGAAGTAGCCACCTGGGAACGGGGACTGTCAGCGCAGTGCTCAGCTAGGGGAAGGGCGACTTAGGGCCTGAATGAGGACAGGGGGTGCGTGGAAAGGACAAGCGTCTCCCAGATGCATTGAGAAACTTCACATTAAAAGAACTCTCAGAGGTACTTCACCGTTGTTAAAGGAACACGAGGAGATATTTCACAACATCGAAAGCAAAAATAATAAAATGTTGAAAGTTGATCCAAAATTAGAAAGGAATATGCCAATTTGCCAAGGCATAGAAAAGATATTTGCTCCGGTTATGTGACAAGAACGAGGCAAGCAGTGTTCAACCTTGTCTCGGCAAGTTTATTTTACAAAGAAGTAAAACACTTTAATTTTTGATGTTGCCAAATTTTTTTTTTTTTTAAGACTTATCTTAGAGCAAGTGTGCATGCGAGTAGGGGAAGGGGCAGAGGGACAGGGAGAGAGAATCTCAAGCCGACTCTCTTGCAGAAGCGCAGAGCCTGATGAGGGGCTCGATCTCACACCCCTGAGATAATGACCTGAGCCGAAACCAAGCATCGGACGCTCAACTGACTGAGCCACCCAGGTGTCCCGCCTTTGTTTTAAAAAATTAGTGTACTAAGCGCAAATTGGTCTTACTATTTTTTCACTTCCTTATACATATATAACCATCAGAGTTTTTCATGTTTTGACAGAAATTTTTAAAGGTCCCAGAACAGTAAATTTTCCCATCGATTATTAAGACTGTTTGGCATGGTTGCTTTTAGAGTTCGGAGCTCCATGCAAAGGGAGTGCGGCCTGCACTTCCCTCATCTGACTTCCAGGCCACCACACCCACTTGCTTCTCTTCCTGCCTTGCTAGCTGACGTCCCAGTCTCCTCTCGCAACACTTACTGTGGGAGGACATCAGAGCCCAGTTCTGGGAGCTATTCTATTTGCACCGCTCCCTTAGAGATTTCACCCGGTCCTGTGGCTTGAAACATCATCTATATGCCAACAATTTCCACATTTACATCCCCAGCTTAGACCTCTTGCCTGAAAGCCAGATTTATATATCCAATGGCCAGCTCCACCTGGATACGCATAGATACCTTAAACCCAGGATACTGTTAGAAGATGGAGGAGGGTCAGTAAAGTATCCTCTATAATGTAAAGGCACTTTAAGACTGAAAAACAAAGCAAGCCACTCCATCCCATTTACGTAGTTTCTTTCAGGGTAACTTACAGGGGGGATCAGGGAGACGGATCCAGACAGGAATGATCCCGGCAGCACTCGGCTATTCTCGGCCCCTCCTTCTCCACCCACTCAGGACTTCAATCCCCAGCTTTTATGGAGCAAGGGGCATGGTGGTGAGGTCACAGGGCAGCTATCTAAAGTGGCGCCATTTGTGCTCCAAAGGATCTCTACTAGTTACCTAAAGTGGGGCCTTCTGTGGGCCAGCCATCTCTACTAGTTACCTAAAGTGGGGCCTTCTGTGGGCCAGCCATCTCTACTAATTACCTAAAGTGGGGTCTTCTGTTCACCACTTTAGGGAAGATCAGAACAAGCCTCCTGCAATCCCATCAAGGCAGACATTAACCTCCACAGGACCAGGAACACATAGCCCCGAGGGGGGACGTTGCGTGGACATGAACAAAATGGAGGGCCAAAGATGGAGTCAATGTGGTCAGCACTCCTACAATAGCCAAAACCGAAATCCTTCCCCCAACCAAAAAAAACCCTCCTCTACTACCCACAATGCACATCTTCCCCATCTCAGTTGATGGCAACTCCTTCCTTCCAGTTGCTCAGGCCAAAAACCTTAAGAGTCATTCTTAACTACTATCTTATATCCTCTGTATAATCTGTCTCAAGTCCTATTGGCTCTACCTTCAAAATATATCCAGAATCAGACTTCTCTCCACGTTCACCGATGCACCTGGTCCACAAACCCTCACCTCTTACCTGGATTACTATGACATGGTCCTAACTGGTCTCCCTCCTGATCTAGTCTCAGCACAGCAGCCAGGCGAGTTCTTGTAAAACATGTGCCAAATCTGGCCAGTCCTTTCCTGAGAACCCCCACAGTGGCTCACCATTTCACTCAGAGAAAAGTCAACATTTTTCCAAAGACCCAGTGGGTCTTACAGGATCTAGCCCCTTCTTACGGGGCTATGTTCTAACCCCACCTCCTCCTCTTCCTCTCACTCCCTCATTCTTGCCGCTTTCACCGGCCTGCTTCTTTCCAGAACTCGGGGCAGGCTGGGCCTTCACACTCGCCAGTCCCTCTTCCTGGAGAGCTCCTCCTCCAAATAGCCACATGCCTGACTCCTTTTAAGTGTTTGCTCACTGTCACCTTCTCAAGGTGTACCCGGCTCCCCAGATCAACTGTTACCCACCGTCATCCTGCAGAAATCCTTATCACTCTTATTCTCTATTTTCCATAGCATTCATCCCCTAATGTGCTGTATGGTTTACTTGTGTTGTTTATTGGTTGTCTCACTCTCCTACTGCTTAGAAGGTCAACTCCAGGAAAGCAGCAACTTCTCATCTATTCTGTTGACTGATAAAAGCCCAAGGGCCTACTGAGAGTATCTGATACATATTAGGCATTCAATAATTATTTGCTAAATAAATGAAGTTGAAAAAGTTCTAAGTTACTAGTTATTATAATGGACCCCCAGAGAACCTTCTGTGTACGTCTAATAACTCCCATTTGGTGAGGAAAATCTGAAAATCTAAAATGTGATTACTCATTCATTTTATCAAGAACTATTTCCTAAATATTTTATATGTGCCAAAGCCAAATTGGACCTTAGATGGCCAAACATACTTTTCCAATTCTGGTGCAGGACCTTCTTGCTTTTGAACACGGTTCTGAATGGACAAGAGTGCTTCTGGTGAATACTGGGCAGCATTGCTCTCCATGTACTTCAAAACATAGTCGTCTGTGTCAAGGATGACAAACCGGTGGCCAAACACTGGGGAGAGGGTAGAAATACATTTAGCTTGGTTATGGTTTTAATCATGCCATTAGGGGTAAAATAATACTGATCCTCCAATGACAAGTTCACAGATAGGCATCTGTGACCTAGATGAAGGAACATTCCATAGCTCTCTAAACTAATATGCAGTAGTTCTCTCAGTGTTCAGGAAGCTCGGGGTCTACATCTATAGCCCACAAATGCAACCAACTTACAGTTTAATTGACATGGAAAGAGATCAAGACACTGTATCACATATACAAGAATATTAGCTTTAGCTCAGGTGGAATGCAGCCTAACTGCCTCTTACAAGTTAAACGAATTAAATTCCCACTAAGAAGAACCCATTCACTTGGCAGGTAGGAAACACTAAGCTGTGCTTTGACCTACCCTCAATCACAGCACCAATGAAGAAGTCAGTCGGGCCATAGTAGATGGGATTTTCCGCTGTTGAGGACGGTTTAGCAACTTTAGTTCTGCCAAGGTACTTGCCCCCAATGATGCCAGAATTGCGGACAGGTGGCTCAAAGATACTGATCATGTCACTGGCAAGAAAATAAGAGAAGACAAATCGGCGGTCTTTGTCTTCCGGGATGGGAGATTCCTAGACAGGAGAAGAAAGGAAGTTATTATGAAGGTACATGATAGACCCCGATGTTCTAAACTTAAGTATCTACAGGACAAGGTATAAAATATAAACCAAATACACAAAGTATAATGTAAGTGAACAGGATGGGGGGTGGGGACTGTGGTGGTCTGGAAAGGACATGCCTCATCTAAAGGAGACTGCCCCAACTCAACTCCGACTGGTTGCTGCCTTGTGCGAATGTAAGCTCAATGTTGTGTGATCTTCCCATTTCTCACGGGAAGACAGAAATCCGGGTGTTGTATGTGAGTGATGAATCACTAAATTTTACACCTGAACCTAATATTACACTGTATGTTAACTAACTGGAATTTAAACAAAAACTCGGAAAAAAAAATAAAACCCCTGATTTTAAAATGTTGACCTTAACTCTTTTAAAGCACTATGTGCGCCAAACAAAACATGTGGGCTATGTTCTGCCCACAGGCTGCCCACAGTTTGAGACCTCTTGGCTGACATGTTCAGTTTCACAGACACTAAGATGATTATGCAAAGTTTAGTTCTTTAAACAAATCCACTGATATACATAATTTTAATAAGAAAATTTAAGAAAGGAGGAATGAGTAATATAATGTCATAGAGTTGAAGTTGATTCTGGGAAACTATCTTGTAGCAAGACTATTCGTATATCAAATCACTGAGAGTGATCACATAACCCTAAGAAACCAATTCCAGATTGAACAAGCTTAAATACAGACATGCTTATTCTTGACTAAAATCCTCTCAAATTGCAACTTCAGCACATATCTTTTCATTTACAACATGGAATTTCTTGTATAATAATTTCTCGTTTATCAAAGAAAGTCACTGGGTTTCCTCCTGTCAAATAATTTCCTCATACCATTCCCTAATCTAACTGTCTCCAAACTTTTTCGATTAGACACTCTTAACAATAAAAAATTTTTTAAACAAACATCCACAATATAGTTAATAAAAATCAAATCACATCACTCCTCTGCTCTCAAACCTCCAGAGGATTCCCGTCACACTGAATAAAACACGAAGTTCTGAGCATGGCGACAGGCAGGTCTGTACCAAGGGGGTAGCGGGGGAGAGCCAATGGCTCCTCCTGGCAGGAGTATTTTAGGAGTATTTTAAAAGTTAAAAAAAAAATCGTTATGTTTTTATTTAGAACTAAGTGTAAAGTTGCATTAACAATAGAGAATTTTCATATACTCCTTACCAGCTTCCCCTAACATTAGCATCTTACATAGCTTACATAACCATCCAATTATCAGACCCAGAGTAATGGTACAACAGTAACAGTAAATAGTAATGGCACAATACCATTAAATAAATCACAGTTCTTATTCAAATTTCACCTGTTTTTCACTTATGTTCTTTTTCTGACTCAGGATCCTATACAGGATCTCACATTGCATTTAGTTGTTCTCTTTGATCTCCTTCAATCTGTGACAGTTCCTCATTCTGTCCTTGTCTTTCACGACCTTGACACTTTTGAAGAGTAATGGTCAATTATTTTGTTGAATGTCCCTTGTGCATCTCATTTTTGCATCTTTGGCAAAAATACCACAGAAAGAATATCTTGTCTTTCTCAGATATCGTAACAAGGAGTTCACGATACCGAAAGATCTTATTATTGGTGATGTTGACCTTGGTCATGTGGGTAAGAAGATAAATGCTGGGTTTCTCCCTTCTAAAATTACCATCTTTCCCTTTGCAGTTGATAAATATCTTAAGAAACACACCTTGAAACTATGAAAATCCTGTTTCTCCTCAAAGGTCTTCCGGTAATTTTAGCATCCACTGATGGATATTCTCTGCAACCATTATTGCTGTGGTGTGTGCTTAATGGTAATTTTTTATTGCCCTCTTCTCTTCCACATTTAGTAACTGAAATTCTACTGTACAGAGGCACAGCCTGAGGATGAGTATTGTATTGCTGATATTTAGAATTACAGGCACACAATGAGAGTAAGAAGCAGATCAACTTTTGGGTTTATTTTTAAATTGTCTGCAGGCTTCTTACCTACATCGCTTGTTACCTGCATCATGGGTGACTACTCCCACCACTCTACGCCTCCGGCCTTGCTAGGCCACTGGCTGTAAGACTCTGAGCTGGTGCCTGATCCCATCTTCATTTCTGTCTCTCTACCCTCCATTCCCTGTACACCACATCTGCATGAAATGCAGTTCCCTCAGATATGCTGCTGGCCAGCTCCCTGGGCCATTCATTCTGGTCTCCACTCAGCTGTGTGCCCCCTCCCCAGCATTTCCCTTATTGACCAGTTAAATGAGCCCCTCCCCATCACTCTGTCTCCTGCTTTACTTTTCACAGCATGTTTACTACTTGTTCTTTGATGATATATTTACTCTTGTCCAGAATATCCTTAACTGGAATGTAAGCTCCACGAGGCCAGAGATTTGTCTGTCTTGTTTTCCACTGTACCCTCAATGCCCAGAACAATGCCAAGCCCAAAGTAGTTCTCCAATATTTGTTGAATGAATGAATAATTCAACATCTATTCTTCTACATAAACATGTTCTGTGTCCTACAAAGTACATATAAAAATATCAGGGGCTATAAAAAAAGTGCACTCCTGATAAATTATAAGCAGAGGCTGTAATATTTTCTTCAGAGTGTCCATGGAGTATCAGCTGTCCGCAGGCTCCTTGGAAGGCCAAGCCTGCTGCTGTGGAGACCACTGCTCAAGTCGAGTTATTACCTTCTCGAGCTTCCCCAAGTCCCTCCGCTGGCACTCCACCCTGAGCCCCCTATACTTCACTAGCCATACTTGCACTTAGGCCCGAACCGCCTGTCTGGGTTTAGCATACTTTATTTCTTTTATATGTATATACTTTTTAGTGTGAACTATAACACGCATAGAGAAAATCTGCAAAAAACCAAAATGTACAGTTCAAAGAATTTTCATTAAGTGAACACTCGTGGAACCACCACCCAGTCAAGAAACAGAACGTTGATGGAAACTAGAAAGCCCTCCCAACTGAGAGAACTTGGTAATAATGTAAAACATTCATTAATCAGAATTTTTATAGTAGGGAGTATGCTACTTGGCCTAGAGTTTGCTAGAACTTCCTTTTTATTTAAAGCTTTGTTCAACATTTTTCTAAAATATAGTAGTCAGCTATGTCTTGATTTAATTTTTATTTTTTCAAATACATGCATACAGTTTGAAAAATCACTTGGCCTACCTCCCACACTCCCAATTCCTATTCCCAGAAGTAACTTATTTCAATTTCTATTTATATCCATATTTCTAAATAAAATGCTTATAGTCCTATTTCTGTATGTTTTCCATTTTTAAAGATATTACCCTTTGAACTCCTATCAGTAATTTGCCTCAGGTAACTCAGCCAATGAGTGGAATATTCAGGATTTAAATTTATGTCTGTTTCCAAACCCATGCTCTTAATCCACTAGCCATATGACCTCTCAAAGGCAATATCTATTAAATTGGTAGGATCCCATTTATTACATTTAAGAAATACAAAATACATCAAGCTAGATATCACAAGTAATGATAAAAATTAGTAAGATACGGTCCCTACCCTCAAGGAAATCACAGTACACTCGATTGCACACAAGTACACAGATAATTTCACTATGTCAGGCTTTCATGATTACTTAATAAAAAAGGCAAAAAGGTCAGTCAAAATTTGAGGGGTAGAAGGGAGAGATTAACGGTCTAAGAACGATGTTTCCAGGAGATAGGACTAGAGCTAGATCTTGGCTCAGGGACCACTGCTAACACTACCCAACCCATCCAAAGGCTGGAGACTGGGTCCCGTGGCTGTTTAAATAACACACGACTCTGCCGACTGTTACCCTGAAGCTTAACAGACAAAAAGGACCACTGGGCACAGTACTGAGACCGAATGGAATCTTAGCACATGGAAATCATCCTCACCAGTGCAGCCAAATAACGAAGCACCTTGTTATCGTTCATCAGCATTTTAATAACATCTTTTTTCGGAGCCTTTGGAATGAGAACAAAGCAATTCTGAGCAGAGTCTTCAACAAGTCCATAACCGTTATAGGGAGGTAATTCCTGCAGAAATAGAAGAAATAAAGCAGATGCTATTTGTGTTAAAATTACATTAAAGGTAACCAAGTTTCTTTTTTAAATATCTAGAAGATACTTATTCAAAAGCAATTTCTATATACACAAATGTACTGTAGTCAGAAACTAAAACATTGCATATTCCATTCCTTTTTATATATAAGCTTTATACCATGATCACTGCTCATAGGAATGACAGATGATGCTACAGAGTAACCCAAAGGGCTAGACCAAAAGTTCAGCAGTCCCCCTTACTCACGGGGGATATGTTCCAAGACCCCCAGTAGATGCCTGAACCCTGTATATACTATGCTTTTTCCCATACATACTTTTGATAAAATTTAACTTATAAATTAGGCACAGTAAGAGATTAACAACGATAACCAATAATAAAGTAGAACAATTATAACGACATACTGTAATAAAAGTTACGTGAATGTGGTCTCTCAAAATATTTTATTGTACTACACTCACCCTTCTTGTGATGACATAAGATGATTAAATGCCTACATGATGAGATGAAGTGAGGTGAATGACATAGGTGTTGTGACATAGTGTTAGGCTACTGTTGACCTTCTGATGATACATCAGGAGGAGGATCATCTGCTTCCAGACTGTGGTTGACCGTGGGTAACTGAAACCGTGAAAAGCAAAACCGTGGATAAGGGAGGACTCGTGTGTTGCTGATGTCCACTGATCCCTTACCACCAAAGCAAGACCTGGCCCTACTCCTGGTCCCAATCCTGGCCCTGTGGTCATCCTACCATGGACAAGCCCAAGGATCTGTGACTTCTTTGTTCTAGGGGGTGTGTGTGTGTGTTGGCATTGGGGGAGGGCAGGACTTGGTTCGTGCTACTATTTTCCTATTTATCTCCTTATTTCTAGTATTTTTATTTCTTGATTTTTGCCACACAAACAGGGGTGGCGGCCATTCTTTACTGAGAACTCAGACTCCTTGTCCACTCCGGACTCTCCTTTCCTAGCAAAGGAGCAAACTCAAGAAACCAAACTTCTGCTATGACCATTACTTGGTGAGTTAGCGTGAAAGTACAGGATGAGCTTTTATTTTTCATTCAGGCCCCATGAAGAGCTGAAAGCATCACTCTAAGATGGTAGGATTTCTTGGTCTAAAAACTTGAGTTCAGTGGCTGTTTTCTTCTCCTCGATGAGGACTGCAGCAGAGTTCTTTCTCTTTGACTCCTTTTTGCTATGCTTCCTCAGCAAAGTCGGCTTATTCCATACATTTCATGTGTAGGGACCTTCCCCAAATCTTTCTATATATTGTATTGAAGCACTTTGACAAATTAGCCTATACAGTCCATCTATAACAGGTACTTCCTCAAAACCTGTGACTACTCTGCTCATCCAAGGTGTAGTGCCTGGATCACTGCCTCTTCGCCCACCTCCTGGGGCCATAATGTGATCATCATGGAGGAAATATGACTAGTGCATCCAGTAGATGGACAATGGCCTAACTTGCTCTAAATGCAAAACCACTACTCAATGAATATACAGGTTTGCCATGGACAGAGGGACCTTGGGTGAGACACCACATGCTGAGCATTTGAGTTACTCTAGAGGATAGGCAGAAATATACAGTGGTGGAATCTAAACTTCCTCTGGGTGTTGGCAGTGGAGATTGAAGAACTTTGAAATAGGGAGGTAAGCCTCTGAACACCTTCCTCTCAAATTCTTTTTGTGTTTTAACAGAGTTCAACCTATTTTTTCTGAATCACACCTTATGCCCCCTGCTTGGAATGAAGACCTTCCCTAAATATCAGCCCCTATGCCTGGGGTCCTGGCACTATGCTTCTCGTCTTGCAAGCTACTGTCTACTGTCGGTGTCCTGTTCTAAACTAGATGAGCCACTCACTCCTCGATAATCCTGCTCACATGCTCCACCCACATTATCTTAACAAAACAAGTACACAGGGAGCTTGAGAGTCCCATAATCCTCCAAATAAGGCTTCCAGAGGCCAGCTCCATAGCGGATTTGCTCTCCTAGTTCTGGATTCTTTGTCTTCCCTACCAGCAGGTCTCCCGATGGAGTCAACCTGAGACAGACACATCTGGCCAGTGGATACATTTACTTACTCCTGAGCTAACATATTAGCCTGACCTAAGTGTCATGATTCTTGAATTGAATATATCCTCTTCATATCTGCTTCTACCCCTGATCATTGGCCTGCCTCTAGCTTTATCTCTCGAGAACCCAGCTACAGCTTCCCACCCCTGCTTTCCAACCACGTTGTGCAGGGTTTAAATGACGGAAGCATAATGACTAAGGAGAACTGAACGGTATTTGCTGTTTGGTAAGTGGTGCTCTCCTACTCATTTCCAACAAAGACTTCCATGGACAAGCAGAGAGCGCTTATGTGTAATTGTTTATTATAAAGAATTTACTGAAAATAAACTGACCAAATACTATGACTCATGTGCCATGTGTATGGATGGAGAATTGGTTTTATATTACAGGGTGACTGAGATAGGGCAAAACAAACGAACCAAAATCTACAGTGGTTCTTCAGTTCACTCTGTTCTCATCTAAGCCCTCCCTTCCCTTCCTTTCTTTAGAAGACAGGTTAGAAGAAAAAGATGAGAGTGAAAGAATGGGAAGCAGAGGCGTTGTAGGACTCAGAACTTGTATCAGCTCAAAAGATGGATCAAAGCCTTTCACTAAGAAAAATGCACTATTATATTGCAGTCCCTCCCCATTCTACTTCCTGGTTAGGTCAGATTCCTTCTTGTAAAGGGGTTTGGCATTTAATAAACTCCCCCGTGTACTTTGCAGTGCAACCTTGGACTGCTATCTCATACTATACTTCTCTATAAACTGAAGTGATGGAATAGTTTGCTTAATCAAAATCTAGATCTTTCCTATGGTACTTTTTCTCATATATTGCAACAAATGGTACCCCAATATTTGGGGATAGGAGCAAGGGCTTTATTATAATTCTTTTTTTTTAATTTTTTAATTTTTTTAAAGATTTTATTTATTTATTTGACAGAGAGAGA